ACAAAAGAAATAAATTTTTATTATTCTTCAAATATTTTGTACCCTCTAATAGTTTGTAAATAAGGAAAAAAGGAAATATGAAAAGATACTAATTAAAATTATGTTGTAAAAAATATTTAAAATGTTGTATTGCTTAAAGAAAGTAAAGTAAAATCGTAAAGAACAAAAACAAAATACAAACATGGCATTCAGTTTCAACTTTGTTTTTAAACGTAACACGTACAAGTGTGACTCGACCCTTAATCGTAATCCCTGTAGGGTAACTACACCATTTGTAGTCCGTGTTACCCTAATTTGGTTTCACACTATGTCGTAGCGTAGGGTGCATGCCCCTATAGGCGACCAATTGTTTGAGTGATAATCGCGTTTGCAGTTTTTTTCGGTTGAATGGTTTTTTTATTTGTTCTGTTGATAAGGTGTTGGTTTTGGTCATATGGCTAATTTGTTATTAGAAAGGTTATTTATTTATTTATACAAACAATTAAGACTTATAGAAAGTGTGAATGGTAGTATGGGGAGGTGACTGTCAAAGTACAAGTGAAAATATAAGCTGTAAAATTACATACATACATATATCAAGCCTGTATCTCTTGCGGCGTAGGCAGAGCATAGACTGCTGTATAAAACGGCCATTCACACCACGTCTGACAAAAGTTTGAGAGTCAGTCAGAGGACTGTGTAACATCATAGTGACAGACTGTCAGCCTGTCGCCTAAAGTTGCAAAACATCAACTTTCAAATCCCTTAGTCGCTTCTCACGACATCCACGGGAGAGATGTGGGGTGATGCTATTCTAAGACGGCACCACACGGCAACGAAACATTAGAACAAAAAATACATTCAACAAATCCTAAAGATTAACCGTGCTAAATCCAAAACAACTAAAAGTTTTGAACAATTCAAAAGTTTCAAAACAAACAAATTAGCGAACAATAAACAGAAATAAATCACCCCTTATAGAAACCACCCCTTGTATTAAATTAATCACCCTAATAAATATTAAATAAGAATCACCCGCTATAAAATAAAACCGTTTACCATAACAAAATTATCTTTATTCCTCTGACGTTAAGAATGAAAATCATACAACAAGATTTTTCCCAATGGTCTTAAATGTAGCCGCAGAAAATGCGACCTTATTGTACATATAAATAAGGTTGAAATTTGTATGTATAGTAAATGTGGGTAGTATTTAAGTGGCGACATACGTATTGATGATCATTTTGTGAGGGAGTACAATTTTATGTACGGTGATTAAATTAATTGGACATGTCAAATGGTTGGCACTTGCTCGAGTGGGCGAGTTTTGATGGCTATTAATAGTACAGTACGGTCGTTCGAATAGGCCATATTAGACAGCTGTCAAAATCATGTTATTGCTATGACATAAGGTCTATTTTTCATTGTTGACATGTCTTCTAGTATGGGTTTGATAGCTGTCAAATATTATGGCCTATTCGAATGACCGTACTATAAGGTGTTTAAGTACGTTTGGTATTGGGGTATATCGGGTATACCTATATTGCCTTGTGGTGCTGGCATCAGAATGGCATCAAACCATATCTTTCTTGTGGGTGTCGTAAGAAGCGATTTAGGGATTTGAGAGTTGAAGTAGGTATATTTTCCAATTTTAGGCGACATGACAACCTCTCGCTATGGTGGTCTTTTGAATGAGTTTCAAAATTTTTTTTTTAATGGTTGTTTTTACAGCAGTTTACGTTCTGCCTACCCTGTAACGGAGGCTTGAAATATGTACCTATATGTAGGTAAGTAAAGTATATTGGGTCATCGGACGACTCATTGTCCGACTCGAAAAGGAAGAAAGAAATAACGTTCTACATTTTTACATTTGATTTATTACGAGAAATCCAAACTGAATTATGTTTTGTGCTTTGAGTATGCCCCTCTAATTTCATAAATTCAGAAATGGCAACTTTTGATGTCATAATTTACGCCATTAGTTATGTTGTAAATTGTAATTACCTAATTGGTTTATTACTGGAACGTTCGCCCTATGCTATAGCTACGCTACTGCGTAGACCTTAGCTACGCTTTCGTAGCAAACAGCTACGATCAACATTATGAAGATGTAAACATCACGCCTTTGTCCCTTGCAGGGTAGGCAGAGCGTCAACGGCCGTAAAAATACTGACGAATATTTGAGGGCCGTTTAAGCTATTGTCGTGTATGGCTAAAGTGACAGGTTGTCAGCCTGTTGCAATATTATGAAGATTTATTCTATGATGTACGATATGAAGATGTAATCTTATTTATTACAAAATATATATCACTTGCGTCGCAAATACCGGGAGTGAATATTACTTGCGGGATTACATTCCCTACTTGCGGGGTAGGCAGAGCGTAAATGGCTGTAATAATGGCCATTTACACCACGTCTGTCAAATGTTTGTAAGTCGTTCGGAAGACTGTGTATCAGCATAGTGCTTGACAGGCTGTCAGCCTATTGGCTAAAATTGCAATACACATCAACTCTCAAATTCGTTTCTTATGACAACCACAGGAAAGATATGCGGTGATGCTATTTTATGCCAGCACCACACGGCAAACAAGTCTATATATTTTTATTAAGAACGAAGTTCAGGTACGATTTTTAATTTCTTGTTCTTTCACCTATGATTTTAAGGAGTTTTAAAATAAAAATGCCTTTTTAATATGTGCCCTATAACTGCAGTAATAATTCCACCCAAGCCCTAAGAATTATTTAAAGGAACCCCTCTCAAAATCTCCGGCAAGATATCATCTCTTAAATCACAACATAACACACACACACACACACACAAAACAGGAGAACGTTTAGTAGGTGGGACTTATGTACGCATGCGTACTGGGCCTCAAGTCTGCCAATTTTTAGCCATTGTAATGCCAGCGACACTCAACTGTCATTCTATTGTCAATGTGATTTTTCCTAATAAAATAACTGTTACACAAATTAGAACAGTGGCTCTCGGGCACCTATAACTAATAACAGAATACGAAACTACCTTCTTCTCAGTCGTTCACTCTTGACAGAGTGGTCGTGGTCAGGAATTGGTCGTATTTTGCGTGGATTTCATCACGAAACTACCAAAACCATCCAACTGACATGCCTGCCGCTGCCTGCCATCGACATCCAAGTGAAACGATTTTTATACTTCGGGGTCTGATGGATTCAGATATTTTTTTGCCAATAAAATACAGCACATACGGCTTACAAATTAAATTAATATTCAAAATTTTAATAATTCAATATTACGACTTAAACGGCTTAAAAATTAAATTAATATTCAATATTTTCAGTCACGTAATATCATGGTAAGCTTCTTGGTCATGGTCATGTCGTAGTCATGGCTTGCTTGACCATTTGGCTACACATCTACGTTTACTAAAATAAATAAGAAAAAAATATGCCTGCACTGCATGCTAAAGTGAAGTTCGGCCCTTATCTGGAAATTCGGGAAATAAATAACTTTTAGTACAAAATAGGAAGTTTACAGACCGTTCACTCGACCCACTCGACCCTATTCAGGATTTTTGCAGTTGTCATAATTTGTTACATAGCAAGTTGAAGAATATCAAAATAGTTAATTCTAGATACCAAACGTGAGCCAATTTTCATCCAAGAAATATGACGTTCATGTCAACCATCTTCTTAGCTACCATGAGTTTCTCTGAGATTCCAGTTATTTCCGCATCAAAATCGTCGCTATAATAGTACTGATTGAGTGAGCCTTCTTTTAAGGCGACCCCTGCCGTCTCTCTAATTTTTGATAAGAATGAGATAAAAACCAAATTGTAAAGTCTACCAGTTACAGACCAATTCATTCCCATTTTGGTTTGGCATTTGAACAAACTGCGTACATGTATTTTATTTTTAATCGATTTTTCTCTCGCACCAAAGCAATTAGCTCGCAGACTGTAATAAACTTCCCTAATTAACTAACTAATGTAATCATTAAAGATAATTAAACGTAGGAAAGCGTGAGTTTACCCCCCCTTTCATCCCCCCCTCTCCTGTCTGATTCAAAAACACAGAAATATCTAACGAAGCTGCTGTACCGTGTGGAGCGAGTTAGAGCGGATTCACTCATTTATAATGTGTGCCGTGTGGTGCCGGCTTAGAATAGCGTCATCCCATATATGATTTTAATGTTCCGTGGTGAATATCACTAAAACTATAAGACATTTTAACGGGTAGACTATCTGTCTACCTAGATATAGACTAATTTACCTTTAGCCGTCACCCGCAGTCTCTCCGATCATGACGATTGCAACATTGTCGAAATATATTATGGTGCTCGATGTAACCCTACAGTGAGTAAGAACCCGTGAAAGTCTACCCATATATTTCCTGTGTCGCGTTGTAAGAAGCGACTATAGGATTTGAGAGTTGATGTGTATTGCAATTTTGGGCGACAGGCTGACGACCTGTCACTACGGTGATACACAGTCTTCTAAAGTATTCTTAAACTATTGTCAGACGTGGTGTAAATGACCGATTTTACAGCCATTTACGCTCTGCCTACCTAGCATCGCATGACTAACGGATAAATTTTGTGAATAGTGAATATTTAGGGAATTGCCAACAGTTCTTGCTGTGAATGCAACATCTTAATCCACCTGCCAAGCGTGGTAAGTACATGACAATATTCAGCATAGCCCATGTCCAGTAATGGACTGTTGTGTCTGTAAAGGTAAAGGTAAAGGAGGTCTTTTGGTTACATCTTACAATCTACACCAACGGAAAACAATAAAATAATTAAATTCTATTCACCGCTAGCACTGGGACCACACCCTCCCCGGGGGGCTTAAGCCAATTATCAGGAGCAATTTGTTCGCGCAAACAAAGGCCAGACCCTTAGCAAATTAGATCCACGTGTAGGGACGCGTAGGGCTGGGATGACAGTGTTATCGATATCGATAATAAATAGCTAAAGCTACTCGTATAAATTCAAGTAACAAAAATAATATATGAACGAGGCAAGTGGTACACAATTTCGCCACCTACCGTGGTGTAGCGGTTAACACGTCTGACTCGGCTTGTCAGAATATGTGCGTTCGAATCCCATTGGCGGCGTGAATTTTTTCCACTCGTTTCGTTTGTATTAACTTTGTAACCAATATAGATATCGATAATACCCATTCACGTTCACACACCACCCCAGGATTCAATCTCATATTCAGAGCTTTTATTATCCAACCATTCATCGATAAGACCTGTTGCGTTTTTCTATAATCTAATAACATTAATCTTAAATTAATGTTAAGGGTATTTGGACGACTTTGTGTCCCACTCGAAGAAAAAGAAGAAGAAGAGTCATCATCATCGTCTGCCTGCCCTTATCCCAATTTATTTGGGGTCAGCGGAACATGTCTTTTTCTTACATTTATCTCTATCACCAGTAGAAGAAGAAGAAGGGTATTTTACATTAATCTTAAATCTCAAGGGTATTTGGACGACTCGGTGTCCCACTCGAAGAAGTAGAAGAAGGGTATTTTGTGAAAAGATTTGAATAGTAGAGCAAATATTATACAAGTGGTCAGTTAGATCACTCGTCGGAGAGTGGAACACATGAAATAGTATTCAACGACTCCTGAACGCTACTTATTTCGTCTGTGTAGACCTTTTTTCGATAATTTCTATTTTCCATTCACTTCCTTGTCTTTTCCCTCCATTCCCTCTAAATTAGCAAACAACGTTTTTACGTCTCTGTAGATAGATCGGGTTACTTTCTCTATTATAATTTTGTAGCTGTACCTCTGAATCTTTGAACTAGCATTTATTTCTGGTGTCTCTTATAATATTGGCTTACTATGATGTTATCCCAAACAAACGCCATCGATAACTTTTGATTGCAAACGTATAGTGGCACACCACTACGTCGGTAAACGCGTCAAGCTGCCGACAAGGGGTGATTTTCAGTGGATTTTCAGTAAAGAATCTATTTATACGACTGTACATACATACAGTGGTGGGCTAACACAGGGACACTCGCCTACAAAAGTGGTTAGAAAAATATTTTTCATTGATTTTTAAGCTAGTAAAAACACCTTATTGCACGAAAACATACAAAGCAAGGTACAAAAGTATTGTAAATTAAAATACGCAAAGGCGGCCTTGTCTTTCTCGCTATATTATGATTTTTTTAAATACTTTTTCCAATAATTTCTTATTTTGTATAAGTATGTAGTACTCGACTGTACTTGGCAGTAAATCGTCGGGAGTAGGGTACGTACACCAGTGCGCGGCCAGTCGGCCGTTACTCTAATTTATCGACGGCCAACAGGGGGTTTATTATCGGACACCATTTTGGTTTCTCTAATCATTTTATTTGTTGAGCTTTGACTTTTTTGGACGATTTGGCTGATGGAATGGCCTAGTGTCAAAAAATGTTGCTTGTTTTATCATCTACATTTTAAGTGAACCTAGATATACTTATAGACTCTCCTCCTATAATGATTCTCAAGATACGCTTGATGTGGCTATATAGTGCATATATTTCACAGCACGATCTAAAATCACTAGAAATTAGCGCTCTTGCTTTCAGCTCCGATAATTTAGAAATGCAGCAGATAATATTCGTTTCCGCTTAAGAGGAACATACTACTAACTTTCCTAAGGAAATTATGGAGAGTTATGGAATAATCTCTAACACACGTTGTTGTAGATGCAAGGATTTTTATTAGAGTGAAGTGATCAAATTGACATTGTCATTTGTATACTTATTTACATACTGCCAGGGTGTTCAAAGTGGTAGATATAAAACCACTGGAGGGCCGCTAAGCGAGTCCTTCGTTACCTAAAATGTACCAAGGATCTCCGCCTTCACTTTAGGCCGACAGACGTGTTCTACCCGGAGTGTTATGTCGATGCTGACTATGGGAACAACTTGATAGACCGACGCTCATATACTGGCTTCGTATTTATTATGAGTGGAGCCCCCATATCATGGGAAGCTCGCAAGCAGAGAACGGTTGCACTTTCGACCACCGAAGCCGAGTACATGGCTCTGGCGGAAGCTTGCAAGGAATCTATATACCTAAAAACACTCATAACACAAGTCTTCAGCGTTACTCCACGTGCCATCGTCATTCATACAGACAACCAGAGCTCCATAAAACTAGCACATAACAACACCTTTCATGCACGCACTAAACATATAGACATCAAACACCACTTCATTCGCGACTCACTCTCACAACACAATCTGAAAATCTCATACATACCCACACAAGATATGATCGCCGACATATTCACAAAACCATTGCTCAAAATCAAGCACAACAAATGTGTGCAAGCTCTAGGCTTAGCATAGGTTAGTATTTTCGATTGTCATTTTTCTTGTAGGTATTTATGTATTGTTAAGTTAGTGTGGTTAGTGATAGGTGTGTCTATATACAGGTTGATGTTTATTTTGATATTAATATTTTTAGTTACAGTGTGTGTAAATATTGAAAGTGTTACTTTAAGTTTGTGTTAGTGTACAGTGTATATCTACAGGATGTTCACATTGCGGGGGGGTGTTAAAACGGAGGTTTTATATCTACCACTTTGAACACCCTGGCAGTATGTAAATAAGTATACAAATGACAATGTCAATTTGATCACTTCACTCTAATAAAAATCCTTGCATCTACAACAACGTGTGTTAGAGATTATTCCATAACTCTTCATAATTTCCTTAGGAAATTTAGTACATACCTATGTACTTTCGCCCATTTTCTTGTAAAAGTATCATGCCCACTCTAGTATGGATGTTCGTCCACTAATTGCCTCACTACTTGCAGGCCTCACATGAAAGCCAAATTCTAATTATTGATTAACATTTTGTTACTGAAAATAATTTAATTATGACAAAAGTTCAGATGTTATTGAATGTTAAAGTTGGGTATGAAAAGAGACAAAAGTGCTGAAGTTTGGCTCTATATCAATTATTTGGTTCTTTATTCGTTATCTTCGGTAAGCAGTGTAAAAAAGGTTTGCACCACAGTGAACCACTAAATACCATCTTTGTTAAAAATACCTGACGGTAGAAAGAACTTTAATAATTAAATTAGTGTCCCTGTTTTGTGCAACCATTGCCGTAGCTATTCTTTATTAAAATTGAGCATATTACATATTTCTTTAATTTTCAATTTTTTAGACCAGGAATGATCATTCTCCTTAACCGTCATCTTTATGATCAATTTCAAACTTGAATGTCCTAATACTCTTATATACCTACCTGTAAATTATTAAGAATAGAATTTGCAACGGTTTTGTTTCGAACAAGTCATTGGAGATTAACAAGCTCTGAACATCAGACCTAATTATCGTCACTCAAACACTATACAGGATGTAAAAAAATCAACTGCAAATATTTTAAGGGGTGAATCAGCACATGAAACTGAACAACTTTCCCCAAGGAACATAGGTCGAAATATGAAAAAAAATATTGGACCTCCCATACAAAATGTACCAGCACATCGAGTCAATTTGTATGGGAGGTCCATAATTTTTTTTCATATTTCGACCTATGTTCCTTGGGGAAAGTTGTTCAGTTTCATGGGCTGGTTCATCCCTCAAAATATTTGCAGTTGATTTTTTTACATCCTGTATAGTGTTTGAGTGACGATAATTAAGTCTGATGTTCAGAGCTTGTTAATCTCCAATGACTTATTCGGAAAACAACCTATGTGTTATATTCTATTCTTATTTACAGGTAGATAAGAGTACCTAAGTATTAGGATATTCAAGTTTGAAATTGATTAACACATAGGTTGTTTTCCGAATAAGTCATTGGAGATTAACAAGCTCTGAACATCAGACCTAATTATCGTCACTCAAACACCATATATCACCCCGATAGATTTTAATCCCTAAATCACTCGTCGACCTCACAACCCCACAGCATTAAGCCGTAAGTGAGACACAATCGCATCGTTTTATGACCTTTTATGATTGCCCCATATGTCGCAAAACGCACCTGTTTTGCAGTTGGGGTGACAGACTAATCTAGCGTTAAACGACCATCACTGGGCGATGTACCCTATTTATTAGTTTGAAAGTGATTTAAAGTTTCGATTTAAGTAATCGATTCGTTGAATGGCTAGATTTATTTCGTTTTTACCCGACTGCCTCAAAATGTTATGATTTTCGAGAGTAGGTATGCATGTTGGTATGTTTGTAGACAAAAAAATAGTTTTCACAGGCTACAGGCTACAGTCCCTGGGCGGATCTTGACACATGAAGTGTCGTTACATTCGTCAGCAGCGCGAGTGCTACTAGCTATGGTAAAAATTCATTAATTCAAGATGGCGGATTTTTATTGCAAAATAAGCTTTGAAATAACCGCGGTCGGGTTTTGTTTTTAAATACACTTGCTTGTTAATATTGTACGTTATGGGTTATTATTTCATTTGAATTTTAAATTACCTAATTTAGTAGAAAGAGCATTGGGCATGCATAAACACCTTTCAGTAAACTTTTGAAAGTTTAAATAATACTTCTGAAAGGAACTGGCCAATACTCGCCAAAACTTTGACAGGAGAAAAAAAAATAAAGTATATTTTTTCTTTTCTGTCTCAAATGGTTTTGACAAGATATTTTTACGACTAGTGGCCAGTACAATTTCCTGAATTTAATAAAAAACCTTTATGGTGAGAATCTCCATCGTTTATCTTTTGGGGTTACCTATGGGGATTAAGGTATTTTGTTTGCTATTTTGACTTAGTCTATGCCAAAGTCTATGCAGATTAGCTTATTCAAATATTAGGAACAAACAAAGTCACAAATTAGATATTGTTTCAAAGTTTCAAACCTTTTCAAGCACTATCCGTAGCCGACGGCATAAACAAATCTATAACATTCTACCCCAAAAATTAAAACAGGACCACTCTGTACGAATCGTGCTAATTCCTTATAGAGGGTGTTTTGTTTGCAAATAGCACTATTTTTATTTATACAGGGGGTGTAATAATCACCAGAACGCAGATGTCACCCATACACGACTTGCTGGTCTTCTGATGACGTGTGTATTTTTGTGATTATTGAGGGCTGCAATTAGGTTTATTTGCCGTGTGGTGCCGGCTTAGAAC